GGCCTCCTACCAACCCCTCCCCTAACGCCGAGCGCCACCGCTGGCGAGGCTGTGAGCAGCAGCGGGAGGAGCGCAGGCTCCGGCCCCCACCGGTCTTCACACACACCCTGCACCACCACCTGCTGCTCCCACCCCCTTTTCTGGATCATTCCCAACAGCATCCACTGCAGCCGTGACTCAAACCTGTGGCTGGGCTCCACGCTCCTCCCACGGCTCCCTCCCCGCCTCGCTTGCTGGCCTGGAGCACCTGCGCGAAGCTCCTGAAGCAGAGGCCCTGTAGGCCTTCCACGTTGCCACGGCAACCAGACTCCTCTTTGCAAGGTCACCACCTGCCTGACCTGCACGCCACCGGTCCGGCCTCAAGACAAACCACTTTGGGGTCCTGGGAGGACCCTCCCCTCCCTACTCAGGCTCCACTGCCAGCTCCTGACCCCCATGACCTTTAGCCCCAGACGCCCACATCCCTCCTGTCCACACCCTCCAGCCCGGGGGCTTTAAATCCCTCCTCCACACCAGGAGCCCTGACACCAGACCTCATCCCCCACCCACCGTCTCCCCTCGAGGCCTCAGAGGCCGACACCCACCCCAGGGGGCCCTCCAGGCTTCCTCACCACCAACGGTGCCTTCCCTCTCCACGCCCGGGGCCTTGGACTCATTCCGGAACCTCCTCTCCTCTCATCAAACCCAACAGGTCTCTGAGTCCCCCTCCCCACCCCGCCCCCTCCCCCGGGGATAAGGCAGGAGCCCACTGTGCTTTGGGAACAAGGTCGGACAGACCCCATTCACTCTCGAACCTCCAACTGCAGCATCCTGCCCCAGGGCGCCCCCTCTGCCCCTCCTGCTGCTCCCAGGCGCCCAGAGCGGCGCCCTCAGTGCTGGCCTCGCCCTCCTGAGCCCTCTCTGTCCCTGCGCCCACTCACCACACACAGACCCGCCACCTGAGCGCGCCACCTGCACTCACAGGCCCTCCTTTAGTCCACGCACTGAGCAGTTACGACCCGGTCGCAGAGCCAGGGCCCAAGGTCACGCCTGCCAGATGCTAAACTCTGATTCTTCCCACTTGACCGCGCCCCTCCCA